TCACATATGCAAATTATGAAGTGAACTACCCCTAAAAATTTATCAAGTAGGGGTTGTGTGTTAAAAAAATGCATTATAAGAGAATTCAATATAACACATGCGTACTGAATATAAATTTATAATACGTAGAGCACAAGAGAAAGCTTAGCAACTATTAAAGTGAGATTTAACCAAATCCAACCACGCAATGACAATTTTAATTAAATTCTTAATTATGCTGCAATTTTATAAATATTATTAGCAAATAAAAATAGAAGGAAAAAACATACAAATTTCAAAGTGAATCTCAAGAAAAACCTATTTATTGCTTGTTCTAAGTTAAATAATAATAATAATATCATTTGTTTTCAAAGTTAGAGAATAACCAATTCAACGCGGTGAGGCAATTGCGGTTGAAGATGTTGCTTCGCCACGTCTCTTGCAGCATTTTCCAATTTTAAGCGCCTATTTTTGTCAAAGCAATAATTTACACCCGACGGATCGATAATTATTTTCTCAAGCACAACGAAATTCTCCAAAACGAAACCCAATACTGCATCGTCAATTGGTCGGCCCCGATACCCACAAAGTTTGAACACTTTAATGTGCTCGTGCTGAAACCTTACATTAGCTACCACGCCAATCACTGGTTTAATTTTTAACAAAGGGTTTTGCAATTTATTCTGCACATGGGGAGAAAAAAGAAAATTATGATAAGAACCCCGCAATTAATGGAGAATATAACAAAGAGAGTTATAGCAGTTACAGTTACACAATATCTGTCACTTTTGAGAAAAAAAAATTGTTATATATTATCCACCACTTTAGAATTCCAATGCTACATTAATAGTTAAGAAAATATATTTTGGTCTAACGACATCTATTTCCTAAAATCAAGATATATTTATAATTTATAGATAAGACTTGTGCCAAGTGAAAAACGAGACATATTTAGGAACGGAGATAGTATATATAAACAAATGGGGGAGAAATTTGACCTACCTCCAAAACAAATTCCTGCAAGTAAGGAGATGCCCTTGTAAAGTAAGCCATTGTAACAAGAATTCCGTCATCAAACGTACCATATTCAACGAACAACTTCTTCAACTTGGGCATTTGAGGAAAATTGCACAGCTCATCATTTTCTTTTATGCTATTGGGACACTGTGTCAGCACCAATTTAAGAGTCTCCAATTGAAATATGCAGCGAGACATTACGTAAATAAATGTTTCTATAAAATTACGGCCGTCATAGTAACAATCGACAGATACATCAACTAGCATTGGAACGTTCTCGAGCAAAACTTCATCTAGACGCGTAAGCGTAAGCGAAGTAAGGCTCGGAGCGGAAACTTCAAGTGACTCCAAACCAAAGCAATAGGCTAACTCCAAGTGTTTTAACACAAGGGAAGAGCCGCAAACTTTGAGCTTTGATATTTTATCCCGGGAATCTTTTGACTATTAAACTTACAAAAATAAACTAATTTCTAATAAATATCAATTACAATTTACACAAGTCTCAATTTGTTTTTTTCTTTTAATCTTAAAAAATAATAAATAAATAAATAAATCAATATGGTATTTAATCACTACACATCACACAAGTGTGTCAAAAAGGATATCCTGTTGTAAATCCTGACTATCTTTACAACAAAATGCTTCAAATTATTTTGTATACATACATTTACACAATTAGAAAAAAAAAATTAAATAAATGAAGTTTTTCAAGAATTACCAGACCTAAGAGCACCTTTCATCCCCATGCTTATACTGTTCTGCAATCCATTGTTCCCAAAACCCGTATCTTGCATCATCGCCACGAATTCACTATAATCTATACGACCATCCTGAAATAAACAGAAGTTCGTTACTTGTGGGAATTTTTTTTTCTGTAAACTATAAAAATAAAGAAAGTATACATACATTATCCTTATCAACTTCGCGGATAATTTCGTCTAAGTGAACATCTCCTAGTCCGAACTGCTCACATGCCTGTTGAAGCTCGTCTTTTGTAATGTACCCACTGCCATCTTTGTCGAAATACGAAAAGGCTGCATACACGTGATCTTCTTTCTGGACTTTGTTTAGGTGCAGCATTGCCGCTACAAACTCTCTGTAGTCTATTGTTCCACTATTGTCAAAATCGGCCTGCGCTATTATCGATCAGGAAAAATGAACACAATATAGATTCTATACAAGATAGATGAAATCGAGCGGATGCAATCAGAATTTGGTTTTAGATAATTATTTCTAACTCAATTGGAATTTTTAGGGGGTGGGGGGGGGGGAGGGGGGAAAAAAAACGATTGTATTCTGCACTTACAGCTTGCATTAGGCCCACGATTTCTGAATCTTTGAGATTAGCACCGACTCTTTCTAAACCCTTCTTGAGTTCTTCGAGGGTAATATGTCCACTGTTATCCACATCTATCATTTTAAACATTTCCTTTAATCCCGCAATTTCCTCCTCGGAAAGAGTTTCGGCAATAACCTAAGGATAAGAGAATAGTTTTTGTCAAATATAGCATGAAATTGTCCCATTGTAACTTGTGAAAACATTGAGTATCGAACAATAGATACAATTTTCTTCCTCTACATTTGTTTCATGTGATGTGGAGAACAAGATATATGTATTTAAAGAGACAACCTCGATTCTTGTTTTTTCATTTTCAAGGGTATTAATAGTAGTAACATTCATCTATGCGGATAGACACTGTCAGCTTCTTTACATAAATCAATTAATAACTTTTTTTTTCTCCTTACGAATTCAAATCACTCTTACGACCGGCTGAAATTGGTGTGTTTAATAAAACAGTGGAAGGACTTACTCTGATTGCAATCTTTTTGAGTTTGTTCATAGCAGAAAATTGCTTCATACGAGTTAGAACAGCGGAATCGAGAGGCTTGTCTGGCGCTACACCACCAACTTGTACCCATGGATGGCCTGAGAGAGAAAACATATTTGGATTTTAGACGCTATTTCCCATCCTTCTAGAATGTTGTATAAACACTGTATCTATATATGCATAAGCATGCAAATCGCAACAAAGCTTGTTCTGTAAGTACATGATTTGGGAGTACTTATTACTCGTGCAATTTTTCTATTCACGTACAGTACACTCACATAGAACTTGATGAGCTGTGGGGCGCTTTTTGGGGTCTCGAACAAGCATTTTTTTTATGAGATCTTTTGCACTATCTGATATACTAGGCCAAGGTTCGGATATAAAGTCAAGTTCCCCTTTTAAAACCTGCTCGAAAATTCCCTGTTCCGTTTCTGATACAAAGCATGCAAGAAACTTCGATAAAGATAAAACATAATTAAACATAGCTAGCAAACTATAGTGATCAAGAATAATTGGTTACCATCCCAAAATGGCGGAACTCCACTCAGCAAAATGTAAATGATAACTCCAGCACTCCAAACATCGCATTCTGGACCATAATTCTTCCTTAGTACCTCTGGGGCCACATAATAAGGGCTTCCAACTACATCAATAAATGTTTCACCTGATAATATACAATATCAGAATTTAATCGGACTTAAATAAAGAGTGACCGAAATGCGGGGAATTAGTCAGAAATCATAGAGAGGTGGCAAGTACAGATATGGAACTTTCTAAAAAACAAAAAAATATGATTATTGGCAGATTTTGTTTCTCTATGTGAATATCGGGTCTATAATTGAATAAGGAGACAAAGAAGATTACATATTTATATAGAAACTTTAAATGGCAGGAATGGAGACGGAAGATCGGTTATCATAATGCTTACTCTGAAACTCTTCATTCATACCATAGTGAAAAATGCACAACTTGTTGGATATCAAACCACAATGTATAAACTCATTCTCCACAACTCCAAGAAAGTTACGATCATAACTCCATAAAAAAAAAAACATCGAGCTAGTATAACTTACTATAAGCATCCATAATTCAATCAACTTTCGAGAATAAAAATCCGTCAACAAGTACCTGGCCGGAAAAAAACGGAGAGACCAAAATCGATGGTCTTGAGCGGCGATTCCTCCTGCTGGTTCACAAAAAGAAAATTCTCCGGTTTCAAGTCTCTGTGCATAACCCCCAACGAATGGCATGCTTCGACAACACCAACTATTAACCGAGCAAGCTCTGCAGCTTTTCGCTCCGAATAATGCCCCCGCTGTATAATCCTATCGAAAAGCTCCCCACCTGCACAAAGCTCCATCACAACGTGTACTGCAACCGCATCCTCGTACGCTCCGACAATAGATATAACGTTGGGGTGGCCCGCAAGGTGGTGCATTATATGAATTTCTCTCCGTACATCTTCCACATCCTCCTCGGTTGTTAGCTTCCTCTTCGCAATTGATTTGCAGGCAAGCTCCTTGCTGGTTTCCTTCTCCACGCATAAGAATGTAGTCCCGAATTGCCCTTGCCCTAATTTCCTCCCTAAACTGTACTTCTCCTTCAGATTCTCTGTTTTCCGCTGTAGAACTGATTCGACTAGTAATCCTGCACTCGATAGTCTCTTTATATGACTGGGCTTGTTCTGTTTGTTGTGATTGTCTGCTTGCTTTTGGGGATCGGAAGCCTTGGCCTCGTCGGCGGCGATTTTGATCGGAGTGGGTGGGGTGCTCTGCACATCGGAGCGAGTGGAACCGGAGCCTTTGCTGTCTGAATTGACGGAGCTCTCGGTGGTGTTCTGGTTTTTATCAATGTTGTTGTTGTTTTTGCCGCTGCTGGCTTCCTGCTCTTGATTTGGGGGAGGTAGGGTTTCGGTCTGCCGTGGTTTCCAGACGGCGGCGGTCACCGATTGAAAGAAGCCGTTGTTCCCCAATTTAGGGCCCACGCATGTATTCCCCATCAAACAATCCCTAAAAAAAAATTCGCTAACGCCTCTTAAATTTCACCATTTGAAACATCTGATTATTGATCCGTTTAACCACAATGTACAGCCATTGGCCGGATATGCAGAGATCGGATCAAATTAAAACAAACACGCCCGGGAATTGATGCAATTTTTGCTGAAGACTGAAACGTCAATTTGAAGCAGAGAAAAAAATTGCCGAAATACTTCAAATTCTCAATTCTTCGACGTCGTTAATTACGATTAATTAGTAGATGCAACTGCGGAGCCCCGGTAGGATTGATCGAAATTTCAAAATTCAAGCAAGGGCGAAAGGATATGATCAGAGAGAAAACTGGCCGGTAGAGAGAAACATGAGTGTGTGAGTCAACTCGGCGGATAACGCGAGTGGGATCAGTAAAATCAATTGGAATTGGATTTTACATGTATTCCTTCACGCAAAATTAGCAGGCGATTAACAGAACCAGACTGCATGCGTGTAATATTAAAATTGCACGTGATCAATTTGATATGACATGCAATGCATGGTAGTACGGTACCACTCCATATCTTATATAAAAAACAAAATAAAATATGTACAAATTTAATACATCAATAAATGCAACATATAAAGTGGTGATATATATACCTGATATCACTTTTGCAAAATATGTAAGTTTGTCCGCGTAATTGGATCAACCTACACGAATATCTAACGTGTATTGGATTTGGATTCATTACATCTTCAATTCAAGTTATATCCTTTAATATCTCAATTTATGAGATTGTATATCTCACTCACTATGTACAGTTTAGTATCTCAACTTATCTGGTTTAAAATCCATTATACGCAATTTTCACACTTACACATATTCACGCTCATAAACATATACACACACTTTTGGCGCACACACTCACTCGAACATGCTTTTCACACACGCACCTTTGACGTACATATACACATTCATATACACTTTTGTCATCACTGGAAACTACGCTCATCATCGGAGGAACCCCATGATCGTTCGAAGACAATCATCAAACAAACAAACAAGTTTGTTTAAATTTTTCCTTTGAAATATAATTGCTTCCAACGTGTTGGGTGCTCACGGTTTGGGTGATTATGTATTGACTCTTGTTGGGTTGACGCATTCATTTTTCAACGCATAGATGTCGATTTTTAATATAATCTCAACATTTACATGTCGAAATTTGGGTAAAATTCATTTTTTTTTGAAAATTAAAAACAATTAGATGTCGATTTGTTGTGAAATTTTGACGTATAGATGTCGAAACTTCAACGATTTTGATTGGTAAATATCAAGAAAGAATACATGCAATGTTTTTGAACATAAAAATCTACTACCAAGTACAAAGTGACATTTTGTTTAACATATTGATATCATCATTGGGTTCTTCTTCCATTTAAACTACTATATTGTTGTCTTTTAACTTCATTTTATAAGTATTTGTGTGGGTTGTGAAGAAGAAGATGAAGATGGTTTTTGTGAGTTGCGAAGAAGTTGAGGGGTTTGTGAATTTTATGTATTTGGGTGTATGTGTTCGTGGTCTTGTGTTTGATTAAAGGTAACAATATAATTTTCTCATAGTGGTTTTACCTTAAACAAAAGAATCATATTTCGAATTATCGAAATATAGGTAGAAACTCCAACGAGATAATGAATTCCAACGAGATAATGAATTAGATAACTTATTCCATTATGTAACGGACTATTAGTTTTATAGAGTTGGGGGTGACATGGCTCCCCTAACATTTCTTATATCATCGGATGATAATCGTCGATACTATAGACCTTAAAGTTATTTTAACATAACTTAAGGGTGTAGGTGTAATTTACGCTATATTATATATCTTATATATAAAAGAAAGAAACGCTGGGTAACCCTAAGAAACCCTAATGTCATATTTGTAATTTTTTGTTTTTTTTATATTATTTTATCTCCAGCATATTTTTTGTATTATTTTATTTCCAGCATATTTTTTGTAATTTTTTATTTACTTCCGATCTCAATTGTAATTTTTTGTTTTTTATATTATTTTATCTCCAGCATATTTTTTTTTTAATTTTTTATTTATTTTCGATCTCAGTTTTTTTTTTGTATTATCACATTTTTAATATTATTTTATCTCTAATATATTTTTTGTAATTTTTTATTTATTTTCGATCTCAGTTTTTTTTTATATTATTTTATCTCCAACAAAGGTTTTGCATTTATTTATTTAGTTTCGATCTCAGTTTTTATCTCTTTTTTTGTATTATTTTATCTCCAGCAAAGTTTTTGCATTTTTTTATTTATTTTCGATCTCAGTTTTTTTTTGTATTATTTTATCTCCAGCATATTTTTTGTAATTTTTTTATTTCTTTTAGATCACATTTTTAATATCATTTTATCTCCAACATTTTTTTATAATTTTTTATTTATTTTCGATCTCAATTTTTTTTTTGTTATTTTATCTCGAGCATATTTTTTTGTAATTTTTTTATTTGTTTTCGATCTCAATTTTTTTTTCGTTTGTTATCTCATTTTTAATATTATTTTATCTCCAACATATGTTTTGTAAATTTTTTATTTATTTTCGATCTCAGTTTTTTCTCTCGATTTTTATCACATTTTTTATATTATTTTATCTCCAGCATATTGCATATTATTTTTTTTCGATTTTTATCACATTTTTAATATTATTTTATCTCCAACATATTTTTTGTATTTTTTTATTTATTTTCGATCTCAGTTTTTTTCTTGATTTTTATCACATTTTTTATATTTTATATATAAAAGAAAGAAACGCTGGACAACTCTAAAAAACCCTAATGATATTTCTGTAATTAAATATTTTTAATATTTTTTTTTTACTAATTTCTAACTATAATTTTTAACAATTATCAAAATTGAAACTAAATCCTGAAGAATCCTATCTAACGGTTCTTTTGTAATTATTTATTTTTAATATTTGTTGTCTACTAATTTTTTACCTATAATTTTCAACAATTATCAATCTCCTATTTTTCGTCAATATATCTCAAATCCTAAGAGATAAAAATAGAATTTCGATTCGTTAAATCTTAATCTATATATGTGGATTATAAATCTATACTATATGTTCTTATTATGTATTAAACTGATTATTTTTTTCACTTTTAAAATAATATCTCGTGCATCGCACGGGGAAAAAATGCTAGTAGGATTAAAAATAACAATATTCCCATTTCTAATCTTTTGTTGAATATTTTAATCCAACTTTTTCCTGGAATTAATTAAAGTTGTCGTTACTCGCCCGACCCATCACATCCTTTTCGGTTCGGAGATAGTGGGTCCGACCCATAATGCCAACATTTCGCTAAACGGCCGTCAAATCAGTAACGTCGACTAACGGCTCATCCACAGTAGAGGGAACCCAAATAATTCAAAAACCGAAATCCCAAAAACTGCGTCGTCTGCTATTTAATCCAAAGCCGCCTCAGGGCTCCCAAATCCCGCCCTTCAAAATTCCTCTCCCCTTCGGCACAATCCGGCGAAATTCAGGTGAATATTTCCCTCATTTGAAACCCTATTTTTTTTTTTCTTCTTCTCAGTAATCTAGGTTATGTTCTTATTTTGTGAATAATATTCAATTTTTGGGGATTTTTTTTCTCCCCCCAATTTAAGCCAATCTCTATGTGCGCATCTTGTAAAGTTTACATTTTTGTTGGGTTATATGCAGAAGTTGCGCACCGGGAAGATGGCCAAGGTTGCTGCAGCCGGTCAATTGCCCAAATCTAGTACTCTTAATTTCGGCGGTGCGGCCTCAGTAGGCGGCAGCACTTTGAAGCGGAAAACACCCACCGAGTTAAGGGTAATATTTACAGCCCCAGATCTCGCAATGTGGTTTTTTACGTGCTTCGTTCTGTATTAGATGTTTAGTGTTAGTGGTGGTTGTGTGCTTTGGTGAACTGAGTGGAATTAAATTGACTTTGGCAATGAATTGCAGAGAAAAGGTTTAGAGAGGTGGTGTAATTCCATTAATTTGTTTTGTAAATGATTTGTTCAAATGAGATTAAATTGTAATACAATATAATAGGCAATGGAGGCTTCTTTTTCCGTTCGTGTTGTTTAATTGAATGAGAGTGAAAAGCAGCACCTACCTTCTAATTCTATTGTGTTGCATCTATTATAAATGTAACATACTAGATGTTTTCTTTACGTTATTTGATAGGGAGAACTACTGAAGCCAAAGAACTTAGTGGAGCTTGCAGACGAATCTCCATCCATTACTAGTTTTATGAGGTAGATCTTTCTTCCAATAATTTTCTTACATTGCTTCAAGATCTGTGATAAATTGTTTTGTTCCTTTAGGAATGCAGATGGAGCAGTTTCTAAGGCCAAGAAATTGGATTCATCAAAAGCACCACGATCCACACGGATCGATGATCATTATCCAATCACTAAAACAAGTAGGCTGCTTTCCAGAAAGGAAAATTCTAAGGTTATAAGACTTTCTTTTTACGTCTAATTTGGCAATGCATTCTCCTATATCACACACTGTATAAGTTTTACTAACTGTACCTCGTTATAAGGCTTACATGTTATAATTTGTATCTCGTTCTAAGACTATTAGATGATAACTTTCACTTTTTGATAGTGTGATGTAATGTACAATTGGCAGGAAAATGTTCCTAACAGGTGTGTTGGCAGTCTGAAGAGTTTCAGTATTCTGATGAATTTAAATGCCCAAAATCAAATGCAGAACTCATGGTATGGGTTATTACGAATGTATATTCTTGACCCCCTCTTCGCATTTGTGATTGAAATAATTTTCTGCATGACCTTGAAGTCAGGGTGACAGTGTTGCTTCAGAAGGTGGGAAAGACTCTTCAAATCCAATTAACACTTTTAAGAGCGTTCGGGAGTTATCACTGGGTGCTGAAAATTTAAATGGCTTCTCATATGTGGATATGGTATTCTTTTCCTATAACTCTTGTATTTGAAGATAAAAGGAGTATGTCGAGGTCTGGTAAAACAATCTTCTTTATCTACAGGGTAAAGCTTTGAAAGGACTGGTATCATGTGACCCACATGCTGCATCAGCTCTACTCCCTGAGTCTATTGATAAGACAGGAAAAAATATGGCAAAAAGCTTTTGTTCGGAACTTCATATACCTGGCCACAAGATTCCGCTAGATTTGACTCTAAAAACTAGCATGCGATTGACGTCTTCGTTCCCTGTGAATTGGTAAGTCCACCGCCACATTTCTGAATCCTGCAAATACTATCATCATCTAGATGATGTAAAGTCATGGACAAACCATAGGTCCATAGATAGTAAATGTAAAAGAGAAATACCATCTGTATAGTAGTATATCAGGGACTTGTGGTTCTAACCATGTACTTCATGTTGTTTGTATTCACTAATTATTGTTGGCATCGTATTCTGAACTGGTAGGGTCTTTTGCTGACTCTTATTTATCATCTGTGATATCTATCTATCCCTTGCAGTCACTGTGCAATAAGAATTTATTTTCTCATTCTTGGCAATTAAACCCAACAACACGTTCCATTGCTGTCCTTATTTTATCTTTAGTTAATATAAAAGTAGGTATGCGATTATGTTGGCATGTTTTTCTTGTATTTTCTCTCTCGTTACGATTCTAATCATTAAGCATGTATTATCTCATACTAATATGCTTCATCAATATACTTCATGGTTCTTGTAGGTTTCATCGACTTATAAATTGTGCCACCTTAAATGACATGGGACTATTTTCAAGTGGTTGTCAAAGTCAAAGTATGGCCTGCTCGCCAGAACCTACCTCTACTAGTGGTAATTTTCATTCTTGGGTGCACCCTCAATCTACTCTACCTCGTGAAGTTATATCAGCACTGACCTCTGCATCAGGAGGTATTCTGTTGAGAATCTTGTACCTTAATTCTTGTACCCTCAATCTATCTCCTTGTACCTCCTTATTAATATTGTTTCCTTTATTAAGGGCAAATGGACTTCCTAAGTAAACGGCAACAGGCATGGGAGGATTCATTTCGATGTCTTTACTACATGCTGCGGAAGAAAGTTAGTAAAATGTTTTATGGTAATGATCTTTTGCCATATAATATTTAAAATATCCATGAACCAACACAACTTCTCACAGATTTTATTCATAGAAGGAATGCTATGTTTTGACCATATTCATTGCTAGAGTTACACCAATCAGTGGTATGTTCTACTATATTCTGATCAAATTGCATTTGTACTTGGACCATCCGTCAGTGTTAGACTTTTAAATGTATATACTTGCAAGGCCAGTTCTACCCTCTGGTGGATAAGGTCATAGCTCTTACTTGAGCATGCGTATAGTACTAGCTGCTGCCGCAATTTATCCTCACCTTTACTATCTTCAAGGAAATTCCCATCTATGATATCATTATAGTCCAAGTTTGCTAGAGATCCATCTCTTGTTTGGGCTATGTACCCTCAGTTTCATTTCTGATGTGCCATCTTCTTATCTATCTCAAATCCCAGTACCTCAGTTTCTTAACATGATCCGTTGTAAATACCCACACACTATGGTTTTTGAAGCGGCATTAAGATTGGACATCACTCGAATTTTTTAGTTGACATATCATTGGCAGTATGGTATATTCTTAGGACATCCATACTAGGTCAAGTTCAGTTACACTTTTACTTTGATCTTTTGCAGTGTGTGGTGCGGAGTTTGTAGTTATGTTCATTGCATCTGATTCTCCAAAAGAAACTGAGTGCTCTTGCTACGCCTATGTATCTCAGTCAACGAGAAATTTGAGGTCACTCCTTAAAGAACATGTAAGTCTATTTTCTTCTTAAAAATGATAAGCCTGTAGAAATCTTATGTACTCATAAGCACATACCCAAGTTTGTCCATATTATTCGAATTACTTTTCTTGTAAATTGGTGGCTCTTCTGCTTCTTTGTGTGAGTATTACTTTGTTACTGACAAAATAAGATTATGCCATATTTGACTGCAGGACGTGTCTTTCTCGATGCCTCTTTGCCGCTCTAAAGTAGAAGAAGTTACAGCAGAAGACCTTGTTGAACTTTCTCAAATTGAAAAATACAATCTGGGGCAGGTTTGAATCCATTTTCTGTTAATTATATCTCTTGGAATGTCGGAGCAGAGGTCTAGGATAAACTATGTAGCATGTTAGGGATGATGTCTGCTTGGTATCCTTGATTTAGGGATCTATAACTGCTCCCTTGTTGGATTGATAGTAACTTCATAAATAAAAAATTGCTGTTTATAGAGAGCTATCAACAGAAGTGGCTGTTAATTTCCCATTCCGGTGAGGTATTGCTCTTGGCCATTCCAAAATATGCAAAATATAATTTTCACGATGCTACTATCCAAGGGGCCTTTTGCATAAAGAAAATGAAATAATTTAGTCAACTCCATTATTTGTATTGATGTTAAATTCTTCCTGGTATATAAGAGTTGTTGGTTACCTTTGATTCCATAAACTTATTAAGGTTGCAGCTAACCCATAATTGAACTGAATGATGCAGACTCGAGCTACGGAGTCCACGGTTGATGTTGATAAAACCCCACAATCTTTATTGATGTTTACTGGGAACAAGAATGTACATGCGTTGTATGATTTTCTGTTAAATTATAGGTTGGTATATGGTATTTGCTTGCTTCTGTAAATTTTATTTGCCGAGAAAAGTGCTTATAACATGCAATTTTAACATTTTTTATTTGATGTAGTAATTATCTCAAATTGATTTATTGTTTTGATTCCAGATCCCTTTTTGCATCTTTTACTGGTGGTGATGTTCCCATGCTGTATTCGCCAGTTCTTTTTGAAAATGCCACTCTTTCTGCTCCGGAGGTGAGCCCCCACTAATATGTGGTTTCTGTAAGGCACAGTTATTTATTATCAACAAAGCAATATGCATTAACTGTTCTTGATTAAACTAATTGGACATGTTGAATAACGGTTGTTTTAGTAAATTTTGTGGAATGAATATCATGTCACCACGAAGTCTAGAGATATTCTCCAATTTTATTCAGATGTTACTGGAATGGAAATATTGGTTAAATCAGTTTAAATCAATTGTCTAGCTATGGGTGTACCCTACCACCTTCATTTTAAGTAAAATTAATTGAAAAGGAATGTGTGAATGTGGGTTGACATAAGAATTCACATAAAATTATCCTTTGTGCCTTGACCTTTTATCATTACTTTTTTACATTATTCTCTTTTCCGAGTTACTTTTGCAAAATTCATTCTTATCACTAGCCAGCTCTTTTTCCATTGTGCAGGTGAAATGCAAACAGACGAAGAAGGTCGACTATACGGGTTCCCAGCTAATGGGATCTAATATTGATAATGAATCTAAAAGCAGATCATCTCCTGCCATGCACTATAGTATTGAAATTAGAGATACCTATATTCCGCCATGGATAGTTTGTGGCATTTGCAATTCTATGCGCTCTAATGGAGCTGATTTTGAAGCCAGGTATCCCAAATTCTCATTTTTGCCAAAACTCGAATCCTGCTGATAGATTATGTCTACTGCAATTTACGTAATAATCCTAAAACCGTCAAAATTGGTTCCTCGTAATATTAATCTCAACCTTTTGATTGCACAAAGCAAGATAAGAAGCTGAAATCACTGTTTAGAACTTGTTCAAATAATCAGTTTATTACACGATCTGATTATTTGGGGTGTCCTAGTGTCTGATTATCCGAGAGGTGTATTTTTTTTCTTACTTTTTTTTTTTCTTTTTTTTTTCTTTCTAATTTTCGTTGAATTTTGTTTACAGATTTGTGACGAAGTCCTCTTCGATTGGCTTGAATATTGGTCTAGACACAACAAAGGTCAACCCTCTTCCGGTAGCCGATGCAGAGAAACTATTGGAAGAAAGTGGTTATTCTTTGGGCATTCCAAACACAACTCTTTCACTTCAAGGACATTCTGCCTATGTACGAGAATTGAAGTGTGGAGATAGCTCGTACACAGCTTTTCTATCGCCGGTTGAATAGATTAACGACGTTGTAACTTAAAATTTCCATGTCCTTTTTGGACTGACTTTCGCCTTTTGTAAGAAGTGTGTGATGTTCAATTCCAATTTTGATTTGTATTATAAGCTCTTCAGGCCTATACAATCTGCAAAAAATGGGAGGGGGAATTGTTTTTTGTAATCTTTTCGAATGCAGATAGGCGAGTAAGAGTTGGGAATTGATCTCTGTAAATACACTTGAAGTACTGTAAAAGATCAACAACAGCTCATTCATTTGATTTCTATTTTGAGCTCTGCCATTATTTAACGACTTCCGTTATATTTTATTTGATGTAAGCAACTTTTGTGCAGCTGGGATTTAGAACATCTGTCATGTTGAATTGAAAATAAATATAACAAGAAATTATTATTGAGATGGTAGACATAAATTATTAGCTTGAAAAAATGATACACAGGTGCTGCTGGATCAATACCTAGTCTTAAAGGCTGAAAATCGTGACGTACTTTTTTTGTTGTGTTACTAATTCGAAAATTTCTGCCGATTTAAATTCCGAAAAGCCCAGTTATTTAAAAAGAAAACTTACAATGATAGTATCGACATTAATAATATTATTCATATTGTAGGTGAATAACAAATCAATTTTTTTTGTTTTTTTTGTTTTTGGGGATTGAATTGAAAGTAGTCATTTACATTGAAAATATCGATTTTCTTTCCGAAAGTGTCAATTCTGATATAATCTGTTCGATTTCCACCACTACCAGAATAGATGCTAAATCCACAAAAACCTGGAACATCACTCCCAAGTGAACAAAAGAGGCAACTGAACGTGAAAGCTCTTCACTTATAAAAGAATAACACACTGTGTGCTCTAAGCCTCTAACGGATAATCCATCAACAATCTTTGTATATATACAGCAGAAAAACAAACTAAGAACCAAAAAAACCTCGACTAAATTTGAACAAAACCAAATGAGGATATAACGACCACAAGAATACTAAGTATTCCTTTTTTTGCCAATAAAACGCAATCCTACACGAAAACGAATACCTGCAATCCCACCATAACAAGGAAAACGTGAAACAAAGCGGAAACCTTTGATAAGTGACACACATATGTTAGTCCGTATTATTGACTTGCATGTTCGTACTGAATATACATCTCCACTGCCCCACACGAGGACCTCGGTCCAAAAGCAATAGTAGGCCTGCATTGTTGGCTGATAAACCGAACATGTACCTATCACATTATGTAATGTTTTTGTTAGTAGTTGCTTGAAGTTCTAAAGTATATCAGACAACGTATACACAGACATATATGATGGATACTACTTTATCAGGTCAATCAATAAAAGTTTGATAGATATATGCACTCACTTGCATCTGCGCGCTTTTCTTTTCCAGAAAACAAGGGGAACGAGCCACTGATCAGAAGAGGAGAAATATATTATTGATCATTACGAAATAGTACGCTCTTGGGATTAGTCAAACTGATAAAATATCTTTCGTGTCACATAATTAAGGAACAAATCCATACTTATAGAACATATGAGAAAATTAAGAAGGATACAAGATGGATGATAATAATATACATTGCAGAGATCGTTAAAATATGACGGGCAAACCATAAATGTTAGATGATAATGACCTTCAGACTTCATAAATGGTTCAAAGATAGGCATAGCAGTTTTTTTTCACTTATAAACATTATGAACTCCTTTTCCGGGAATCATTTTGTAATTTACAATTGCCATACTATGGTATTGTATAAGAAGAAAAATGATGAGAATTGACTTGAGGAAAGTGAAAAGATAAGAGCGGGCACACACACACACACACACACACACACACACACAAAAAAAAAAAAAATTACATATGCTTGTAGTAGAGATAGCAATAAAGCATGCTCTCAAACAGAAGCAGCATAACATATAAATAGAGAACTTGATTCCGAGTTCCTTCCTACTATAATTTCAGCATGCACTAACGTGCAAAAAATCAGGCAGCGTTAAAGACAATCTTAGTAGGATAGTCTTAATTGGCTGGACTCTAGATTTTCACATTATCTGAAAGCCATATCTCGCATTAGCATTTAATATCTCCAATGCTAAACGTCTTAAATACAGAAAGGAACTCAGAATTAAACTGATTTCTACAATAAAGTTTACTGATTTTTTCGTGAGCAATTTTAGAAGGTCTCTGGCTTAGTAATTGCTAACTGACACTAGGACAAACAAACACTGACTATGCTATTTTTATTCATCCTCCAATTAAAATAAATTTGTGACACGTAAAACAAGAATTGACCGTTGCACCGATTACAGTCCGGCGAGGATAACTAATATCTTGTGCCTGAGGCTTTGTTGTCTTCTGGGGTCTAGGCAAGATTGGACCAACAAACCTCGAATATCAATCATATTACCTAGAAACTTACCTATTTAATCAATCATGTAATACATATGCTAAAATTTAGAGCTGCGATATGGAAGCACAAAGGAATTAAACAAAATTAACATTTTCTGCACCAAACAGAAATAATTTTAGTATCACCGTTACCTTGAATATCGACATGAAGGAAAATTTTGCAACCACCGACGGACTCCTTACGGGCATTCTCCTTGGCAGAGACATATCTCTATAGAAGTTCTGAGCTATCTCCTTCAACAGTACAACCTGTGCTTTGTCAGTCCCAATAGAAATAATGGCTTGCCTCATCGATTCTCTATCAGCCTCAAGAGCATGAAGCCTTGCATATAGCTTCTGGATCTCTATGTCTTTATCATCAGAATGATTAAGTGACTCCATTGGGGCGTCGAGACATTCATCACCACCAACTCCAACAGAAACCTTGGAACCCATAAGACCATTAATAGAAGTTGCCTGATAAACAGAGTCGATTGTGTACACCCTGTCACCCAAGTCCTCTTCAACTTCCGATGCATTATCCACCTTCCTCGAATTAGAATTCTCCTCAAGATAGGAAAATTGCGTTTTCTTAAAACTGGTTCCATACTTGGGAGAATCTCTGGCAAGATCCGGGCCCATTGCATGAATTGAATTCGTGCTGTCGGTAGAATACTTCCTAATGTGATTCGTCAGTCTTGGAGACTGACCCACTATTACCTTTTCAAGCACGTTTTTCGCACTAATGAATTCACCTTCAGACTGGATTGCCCTCGGACTTCTCTCCAATTTATTGATTCGATCCTCCAAATCCTTCAACTGATCCCGAGGATGTGGAGTTTCCCCATACGTATATTTCTCCATATCATGAATTTCATCATCTCCATCTGGATAAGCCTGTGAATCGTTCGAATTGCACTTTAAAGGAGGGTAAATTTCATAAGGAGGAAACTCAATCTGCCCTTCCGGGTACTCAATCATGCTAGTGTTCCGGCTCAAAGTACCCCTGTCTCCATCTGCTTCCGGCCCTGTCAGCCCATAACTCATCATCCTGTGTTTATACGCGTTCACCTCACACATAAGTGACTGTATGGTCTGCTCCCTCTTGTACAACAAATCCTCCAATCGCAGAATCTCCTGCTGGTCGTGCGCCATTTTATCCTCCGCAAACCTCTTAAACTGCCTCGCTTCCATCTGAACCTCCGCCTTGTCCCTCTGCAATCTACGAATCATGGACAGTGTTTCGTTGGCAGCTGACGAGGCGGCATTTCTCTCTTCCTCCAGCTCGGACATGAGGTCCTGAATTTTACTCTGCTGATTGGTGACCATTTCACGAAGCACGTTACATTCATTTCCTATCTCTACACGTGCATTTTGTGGCACGATGAAACCTGGGATTGTGAATTGATTTTTTTCTTCCTCAAACTCGTCGTACTTACGCTTCACAGACCTAAGACAAGCACTTGAAAGAGACCTCTTCATCATTGAAGAGCTGCTGCAATATTCGCAGTCGCAGTCGCAGCATTTTATCAGGCTGGTGGACGGGGTCGAATTATCAGACTCCATTACAACAGAACCTCAAACACACCAAACTACAAGCATGCTCAAGAATTAATCTTTAAAAAATTAAAATCCACAAACACCAAAAGCTCCAATCAATACCTCCCTCGGTTACACACTGATAAAATTTCACTTCAGATTACACATACATTTCCTGTTCTTTTTTCTCAACCTCAGAGAACCAAATAGAACTTACGCTTTCGGATCAAATCACAATCTCCAAAACTTACCTACAAATAAAAAAAAATCATAAAATTCAACACTTTACAGTAGCTTTCGAATTTTTCGCGCACAGATAGATTTAAATATCTCGTGTATGTAGACTGTGCATGGTGATTTTGTACCTTGCAGCTTAATGAGGAATAAGAAAGCCATAAACCGGAGCTGAAATTTTCCCGGGAAAGTATTTCCCCATCGTGATTTCTGATCCAGGAAACAAAAAAAAAAAAAATAGGAGTTCGTTCTTCTTCGCTACTAATTCTGATCTGAACGAGGAAACGGTTTTCCTGGAGAGGAAAACAAAAAAATGGCGATTGAGGTGGAATTAAAAAAAAATGGAAATTATTAATGAACAATCAATCAGTGCCCGTGGAAATTGGAGGGAGGAATTTGAAACCCTAGAAAAATTGGGCGTTGTTTTTGTCCGTTTTCGGTATTTTGTTTCTCTAGTTAATTCGATTTGTGCTTCGTTTTTCGTGAAATTCTGTAGAGAGAGAGAGAGAGAGAAAGGGAAGAGAGAGAAAGAGAGAGAGAGGAGGATTATCAGTTGTGATGAAAAACTCAAAGCTGGGAGACAAAAGGGGTATATTTGGAATGGCGGGCTGGTCAGAAGAGCCACCTCTCTAAATAAATATAAATAAATAAACAAATACATGATCAAAAAAACAATTAAATTACAATTAAAAACTTAAATAAATAAATAAATAAAGTGGTCCCACGTGGGAGCTTTCGAACACATAATATCACTCCATATCCTCTAGCATTATGCCCATTATGCCCCGAGGGCAAAACTTCATTTGTGTTGCATCATCGAACAATTTCCTATATGTTACGTCCGATGAAATATATATTGAGTAATTTTTCATCTCTATTTTATTTTACATATAGTTGATGTTTGAAGATATGTATCGATCTATGTACGTTTATGGCAAGATATCCAGTCAAATTTACTGTGTGTAATATAGAACGACCTATAACATACGTAAGGTAACAAACACATCATTAAAGAAAAAAAAAATTATGTTAATAGTTAGATTTGTTACTGCAGTGAAATTATATTTGAAGGAGAGATAAATCTTTAATTTTTTTTTTTTCTAATTTTTTTTTGGATATTAAATTTTATTTTTATTATTAAATTAAATTTTATTTTGGGACAAAACATAGCTGACTTTCAAGTGATTTGGGATACTAGTTCAAACATGAAGTTTGATGCTTACATTTTGCTACTAGCACATATTAAAACCAACTAACAATTTGCCCAAATGACATTGTCTAATCTCAATATACAAGATACCTAAGTTAAGAGAATCTTGAAAAATATTAATATCAAAGATAATTGTCATTATTGTCATTAATTTGGCCTCAAGATAATTTGATAATTCAGTCTGAATGAAATTTTATATATACTTCATATGTCACATATTATTTGTCACTTTACAACTTTAATGTAAAATTAATTGCACTATTTCCAATTTTACCCTTCATTATTTTTAATTAATTACCTGAAAAATAATCAAGCAAAGAATATTGTTAGTAATTTTTAATATGTGCGCAACCGAAAAAAACTGACGTATAAAATGAGTAGGATGGAGTAGTTTGTTAACCCATTCACGCTATATTGAAAGAAACATATACACCACATTCATTCACACTTGCAGTTACATTAATTAATTATATTTGTGTACTAAACCACAATTAAAGAATGTGAATTAGCTTTTTAAAAGTTCAAATTAATAAATAATAATTTTTGACCAATTCATTATCCTCTTTGTTCCCTTCAACAACAAGCTGCTGATAAATCATTATTATATTTAACCAAATTCATGATTGACATTAGCAAGAAAACTAATCCTACTTATAATTTAATATTAGCTTCATACATTTGATGGAATATTCCATCATTCTTATGATTTTTTCATTCAAAATTATAAATTAAAAGAAGAAAATAAACCCTCTAATGTATGATTATTATTTTCTCAAAATTGTATCTATATATATCTTCAATATTTTCGGATGCAGCAAACGAGTGAACTCGATCGTTTATCTCGATCCAACGTAACTAAACCCCGTTTCTTTCGTCACACCGTTTTCATCCATCGTCTTCCTCACACTCTTCACATCAATCCACATACCTCTAGACGCAAAAATATTCGAAAGCAATACATAAGCCCCGCTGTTACTCGGATCACAAGTAACCGCCATGTCAGCAGCGTATCGTGCCAGCTCAACATCGCCCTTATCTCTACACGCACTAAGCAAGCTCTTCCACACCAAAGCATCCGGCTCAAACGGCATATTTTCGATAAACGATCTCGCTTCTTCCAATTCACCGGCCCGGCCCAACAGAGAAACCATGCATGCATAGTGCTCCGGGCCGGGCCCCACTCCAAATTCAATCATGGACTCGAAATAACGAAACCCTTCTCTCACAAGACCACCATTTGCACATGCAGAGAGAACTCCGACAAACGTGACGTAATCTGGTTTTATTACACCCTCGGATTTCATTTGCTCGAACATTTCGAGGGCTTTATTCGCGTCTCCGTTATGCGCGTGCGTTGATATAATTGAATTCCAGCACGCAATATCTCTTATAACGGCACGATTAAATAATAAATTCGCCGCATCTATAATCCCGCATTTCGCGTACATATCCATCAATGCATTCGTGACAAATGGATCGATTTCTACGAGGCCTGTCTTTAGGGTTTGGCAGTGAAATTGGAGACCGTGTAACAAACTTGCCGTATTACTACAAGCCATGATTACGGCAACGAATGTGAAACCGTTTGGTCTTTCCCCAACACGTAACAACTCTAAGAACAGCCTAAGAGCATCCTCGTTTTCCGACCGTAGAAGCGCATACCCGAACAACATCGAATTCCAGACAACAATGTCTTTATCGTCGATTTCTTCAAATACAAGTTTTGCACTTTCCATAAACGAACACTTTGAGTAAACATCTATTAGGGCACTTCCACAGTAGCTGTCCGAACAAAACCCGTATTTTATCACGAGAGAGTGAAATATAAAGGTACTTTGAGAAGATGACACACCAAGAAGGCTGACTAATGTTAGTCGACTAGGTGGGATTAAATTATCCCTCATTTGGTTGAAAAGATCAATCGCTTCACACAAATTCCCGTTTCCCGAGTATCCTTCGATCATCGTATTGTAAGAGATCATGGTGTTATATTTTCCAGCAGCAAGAAATATTTTCTTGGCATCAGTCAAGAAATCACACTTACAATACATGTCGATTAAGCTATTCGCAACGAAGTCATCGTATTCGAAATTGACTTTGACGGTGTAAGCATGGACCTGCTTACCGAGATTTAGATCCCCAACACAACCACAGGAAGTTAGGACACTCGTGCAAGAAAATCCGTCTGCCTTCAATTCTAATCTGTTCATACTCTTGTACAGATTCATCGCTTCGTAATCGAGTCCACTCTGCATGTAACAAGAAATCATCGTTGCCCAAGAAACAGAATTCTTAACAAGCATATGTTCGAAGATTCTGCGCCCCGATTCCGGTTCTCCGCACTTGGAATAGAAATCTATAAGCGTGTTGCTCACTGATACATCCATGTGGGCACCAGTTCTTCTCAGGGCAAAAGCATGAACTTGTTTTCCGACTTTGAGCAGCTCAAGCGTCGAACATGCTCTCAACACATTGGAAAGTGCGTACTTATCAGGGAGAATATCAGACTCCACCATTTCCTTAAAAATATTCAGCGATACATCACCTCTTCCATTTATCGAAAATCCCGTGATAATTGCAGTCCATGCCACCACATTTTTCACTCCCAACTCGTCAAAAACAGATCTCGCTGCGTCCAAATCAGTAGTTTTGGCATAGAAATCGATAAGAGAACTGCCCACGTGGGAATTTTGATCGCAACCAAATTTAATCACAAGACTATGCAAATGCAGACCGTCTACGGTACTAGCTAGCCGAGTACACGATTGAATGACAGTAGACAAAATAAATTCATTCGGATAGCCATTGCCACTTTCTCTAAACTCCCTAAACGAAGTCAAGGCTTCTGCGTTATAACCATTTTGATTATACCCCGAAATCATCGAAGACCAGGAAATTAAGTTTCTCTCGGGCATTCCATCAAACAGGTAGGCTGCACTCTGTAAATCACCCTCCCTTGAGTACGCCGTGATAAGAATGTTACCGAGGAAAATGTTTGATGCGAGCCCTGATGAAATAATCTGGCCATGAACTGTTTTGTAGTAACGAACGTTATCGGTAATATTTTCCGGCGGCGAAAGTAGAAGCTTGCCCAAATATTGCCTGTGTTTTTGCCTGTTGTGGGCAGCGACTGTACTACCGGAGTTGTCTGATTGGAGGAGTTGCGACGGTGGCCGAGAAAAGTTTCTGTGAGACGGTGCCTTTGAAATGGCGGCACCAGCTTGTGATTTTCTCGACGAAATGATGAAGAGCGAATTGCAGCTTCTGGCACACACTGTTCGCATTTGCATGTCTACAAATGTTTACTTTCATTCATTTCAGATCCTTAAATTCAACAAGAAGCAGAGTATATATATTTAACTTCCCATGTGTATATATATATTTATTTATATTTAATTGAGTTATAATAAAAATAAAAAAATCAAGCAGAGTGATAAAATTTGGCACAAATTACAAATGAGAAGCTGCAAGTGAAAGTTCAGATAAGAGAGAGAGTCACAAGATATTACAGTCATCATATGATATTTCTCATTGAACATCGAAATCAATAATTACCGAAATCAAGATAAAGAAACGGCACCCGACGAAAAATCGCCAACTCCAGTGGTGAAGAAATTTAAATAAAAATTTACACACGGAAAAAAAAATACAGAGAGATTAATGGAGTTTGGTTGACACACTTAAACAAGACAGAATTACAGCAAAGAAGAAAAGAAAATCTACAGACAAGTGAAGCACAATTAGAAGAAACTGTTGTATTGACTAGTGAGAGAATCTCTGAGATTGGAGTACAGGTTGAAGAGTGAGTACTGTCGAAGATTCTGAACCTCGTACCAGGAATTGAAAACCGATTCGTGCTTATCCGTGCCAGAAAACGCCAGCTGTATCCCGATGCTGCAGTCCACATTCCCACCTCGGTTTTTGCAGTTGTTGACTCTGATGGCACAGTCTTGATTGTTGAGGCATACGAAGCTTGAGTTGCGCGAGCACGAAGCACATCCGTCTCTTTTCCAGTACAAGTTTTGAAGCCTCCCCTTCTTGAATTCTTGAACCTTGAATCAAAAAAAAATATTAAAATAAAAAAAAAATCATTTTTAATTATGGGAATGGATTCAACTCGAGGTGGGCATTAATGATGTGGCAAGTGCCGACTTTCTTACCAGAGTAAAACTGGTGACGATGTACGTGCTGTTTGCAACAAAAGCAGGCATGGATCTTGCGGCGTATTTTCGACCAGCGAATGCCACCATATAACCTCCTACGGAATCCTGTAATGGTATAGAAAAAGTTGGAAGAGGTTAAGAAATATAGATCAAAACATTCTTAATAAAAAACATTGTGAGAACGGAGAACAAAGTTTTTATCCTAGTTTTATTTGAACTGCTTGAAGTTGTGAAGATAATGTACATGCATATAAATGCAATTTTCTTACAGAACAGCTTTTTCAGTGCTTAGCTATGCCAATTCTTCTCATGAATTTACATGTAATATAAGATTCTCAGAATTCACATGCTTAACAATGGTAATGACTTGCTCGTTCAACCGTCTATTTCAGGATTGAAAACCACACAAAAAAGTCATTGAAATTTGGTGCAACCTTAAGTTCGAAACTTCATCCTCACTTTGTCATAGAGATAAATCAATAATTATTGGCTAAAGCTTATGTTAATCATAGACCCCATACGAAAACATGCCGACTAAATCAATCCAACAATTTATATAACATGCCGACTGAAACATTACCCTGGTTTTACTCAGTGTCCGGGCCATATAGATGGCTAAATTTTGCTTAAAACGAAGGTTTCTTTAGTTATAACTTCACAAAGCTTCACCTAATATGTCATTATATCTCTTAGTAGAAGTGCAAAGGCGTATGTAATAAGATGTCGAAGATGCCAATGTAGTTATTTGTAAACCCTTGGGCCATTTCTTAATCTTAGTATAGTTGGTAAGTCCGATACAGAATATTCTCTTCCTTGGCTAAACCATCTGCATTCTTTTGTTGCCCAAATTGCTATTATTCAGTGAAGATTTTGAACAATTTTTACCATGTAGAAATAACTACACTTGTAATCAAACTTCACTTTGTAAGGGAAATGAAATAACTACACCTGTATCTAAACTCTTCTCGGTAAAGAATTATGTTTGACTTCAAACGAAAAATCCCCGTTTCTCCAAACACTAGCCCAAGCTAAGGACATATGCAAGTCCAAAAGTAAATAAGCAAATCCCTTGCACTTGTTTGGAGCGAAGGATTTGTCAAGGAATTTCAAATCGACACCCCTCATTTTTAGTTGTTTTTGGAGCAATTGGGGTGGATTTCGAATGACTCGAAATTGGAGTAATTTCAAATCCTTACCCAAATCAACTCCTTCTATTCAAATGGACGCAAATATCAATTTCTATCGGAAAATCGTATACCATACGTTTCAACACAGTTAGGGAAAAACCACAAATTGCTACTTTTAATTTTTTCTTTTAAAAGGTAATAATTTGAGCGCATAAGCATCAGACGACGGTCAATTGATTATCTAAGTGCAATAGTATAAAAAAGGGAAACAGTACCGGTTGGAAGGTGGAGGTGTTGATGGTGAGGAGGGAGATCTCGTCGACTTTGGGGCGGAAAACGGCGACCTGAGAGCTTCCGGTGAGAGAGAGGCGGCTGTCGCACGGCGAAAGCTGAGTTCCGTTGAAGGAGAAGGCCCTTGTCTGCGCGAACGCCACCCCGAATGTGAAACCGTCGGATCTCTGCACGGAGGCGTCTCCGCACGGAGAGAAGACGTTGTTTGTGTTCTTAGATTCTCCTGAAGAAATTATGCTCAGTAGAGCTACTAGAGCTATCAATGGCCGGTGAATCGCCATTGTTGGAGTTGAAGAAGTTCAAAAAGAAGAAGAAGATGGCTTAGCTGTGATTTTGCTGGGCAGATTCTTCTGCTGTTGGACTGGGGGACTTGGTTGTGAATGACAAAATTGCCCCTCAACTATGTATAATTAACAACTTTGCCCATCAAAATATGGAAATTATACACTTTCCCACATAAACTAAGAAAATAGTCAAAATATAACCTCTTCTAACTTTTATCCCTTGTTCTTAATATTTTTAACTGGAATGCTAAATCTCACATTAATGTTATCAAATCATGCACACAACTGAAAATATTTTTCTCTCTAAAATCTTCTCTTCTCCTTTCCAACGCTTTTTTTTTTCGCTATTTTTTTCACAAACACACACTAAAAACGTCCCTAGTATTTCAAGCTCGAATTTGAAAAAATCTCCACGTGTTCAAACTAAAATAAAGTTGAAATTTGAGGAAAAATTCGAATCGATATGAATTTGAATAATTAAAAAGGCATAATGAAATTGAATAAATACTAAATAACTGAACTCTTTTTTTATAATTATTTACGTGAAAAATTAACGAATTTTGAGTGACTTAGATAAAATTATCAAAGAGAGAAGTTAGAGAGATTTTTTTTTTTAATTATGTGTGAAGTTTAGTAAATTTTAGTATAGGATTTAACACGCTAATCAGTTTAAAATGAAATTAATTTTGAATAACAAGTTGATTTTCTACTTTCATTTTACTTTGTTCAAAAGATAAATTTTACTATGTATGCTTGTTGGGCCACTGGCCCAATAGCCACCGATGTATATAATGTATTTGAAAATTTAGTCGATTGAATTGTAAACAATATAAGTGTATCAGGTTTTATAGATGCTAGACTCCGTGAAATACAGTGAAATGGTCATACACCATTGATCTCTACTAGAATGTAAATGAGCTCGACAAAAGCTCGAGCTCGAGCTGAAGCCCATTTTTAATTATTCATGAGCTCATAAGCAGGCTCGTGAGCTTTATATATTATATATATTTTTTCTTAAAAAACCAAATATATATATATATATATATATATATATATATATAATTTTATTGATATATATTTGTTATTTGTAAATATAAGTTATCTTTAATTTACAATTAATGCGATCGACATATTTAATCTTAAATAAATCTATTCATACTTAAATTATAGGAACATCCATTTTGATCTTAAAGTAATGCTGCCTAGATCGTGCAGTGCAAGATTGACAGATAGCGTTGAACAAGAGAGTTTAATTAAATATATAGCTACAACATTTATTTCTTTCATATTTTATTATTATTTAAATAAATATAAAAGCGTAAAGGGCATCTCCTAACCGTTGACAATTTATATTATTTTTTGTTCACCGGCCAATACTTTATTCATTTCTTTTATTTAATTTCCTTTAATTTTAGAAAACATTTTTTTTATAATGAAGGAACCTACAACAAACCGAAGAAACTTTCATTCTTATATAATAGCTTGCAAATCATACGAGAGACACGTAAACCAATTTTTTTGGTCTATATAAATTAAATTACAACACTTATATATTATATTTTACGAGCTAATTGCATAAACCCCCCGTGAAATCTTGAATGGCTAAAAAACCCCTCATGTTAAAAATATTAGCATAGACCCCCCTATATTATTTTTGACAAAGCACACTGGCCCTTATTTCGAAATTAGCAGTTGACTTTTATGAAATGACTAAAGTAACCCTCATATTTTTTAATAGTTTATGTTTTAATTAAATAAATAAAATGCAAAAAGAAAAAAAAGAAAGAAAAAGAAAATTCACCCAGGCAATCGTCTTCCTTCCGCAAACCAATTCTTCCATAAGCCCTCCGCCGCATCACCACCACCACGGCCGTATCACCACCACCACGTCCGCACCACTGCCGCAACCCAATTCTTCCATCGAGCCCTCCGCCGCCGCATCACCACCACCACGGCCGCATCACCACCACCACGTCCGCACCACCGCCGCATCACCACCACCACGGCCGCACCACAACCACATCACCAGCACCACGGCCGCACCACTGCCGCATCACCACCACCACGTCCGCACCACCGCCGCATCACCAACACCACGGCCGCACCACCGCCGCATCCCCACCCCCAAAAAAAATATGCTTTATGTTTGATGGGTTCTTTCGTATCTCTTGTAAATCAAGATGTTGGATCGAGTTACGTTTTGTGCGTGTGTGTATTGTACTAGGGCTGTGTTTTTTGTGCTTGAAGTGCTTTTTTCTTCTAGCGGGTTTAGATGGAGGAAGCAACTTTTGTTGCTTTTTCTTCTTTTGCAAATGGGCAGGTTATGAAGATGAATCGGTGGTTTTTGTTTGTTTTATTCTTTTTTTATTTTATTTTTATTTGGCGTGCAGCAAATCTGAAGGAGAGGGGAAGAAGATGATGAAGTTTTGAGTAATTATGAAAATTGCAATTAGAATTCTATGCAATTTGGAGAGAGGGCTTTTTTGAAATTACTTGGGATTGAATTGAAAATTCTGAAAACTTCATTTTGAGCTTATGAAAAATATTTTGGGTAAATTTATAAATTTCAAAAATTGATTTAAAGGGTATTTAGGTCTTTCTAGTTCCTAAACACGAGGCCCAGTCGCACAAAGCGCGAGTGTATAACACATCGAGCTCGTAGGGTCTTTTTTGGCTTTGACTATTTTTCACAGGGGGTTTTGTGCTAATATTTTTAACACGAGGGGTTTTTCAGCAATTCGAGATTACACAGGGGTGGTTTTTGCAAAAAAACCCTATATTTTACATTATTGATTAAAAATACTAATTACTATGCAATCACTACTTAATATAAAATAATATAATATAATTTGAAGTATGTATCTATTTTAGTATCATAATTGTAGAATATTTTCATCGTCAACCTCTCTATTATATAAGTGTTTTTAAATTCAAATGTACCTTCCCTTAATAAAAATCTCCCCCAATTTGTTACCGTTGACTTTGAACAACCTAGAAACAACTAATAAGCCCCATTCCTCAAACCCCTGCACCCATGGCCGTTGACCACCTTAACCGCAATAATAAATCTCCTTCTCTCACATCATGAACAGCACCACCGCCAGCGGCGGCTTCCTCGGCTCACAAAACATCGGCGGCTTCGGCTACGGGATCGGCGTCTCCGTCGGGATCCTCCTCCTCATCACCACCATAACCCTCGCTTCCTACTACTGCACCAGAAACACCGCCGCCGCGTCGGCGTTCGTGCTGCCGCAGAGGAATCCACGGACGGCGGCGCAGCCGCCGGAAGACCACGACGTGGAGGCCGGGCTGGACGAGTCGACGCTGAGCACGTACCCGAAGATGCTGTACTCCGACGCGCCGAAGGTGGACCACAGGGACTCCACCGCCAGCTGCTGCTCCATTTGCCTGGCGGACTACAAGAGCAGCGACCTGCTTAGGGTTCTGCCGGACTGCGGCCACCTCTTCCACTTGAAGTGCGTCGACCCGTGGCTGCGCCGCCACCCCACGTGCCCCGTCTGCCGGACGTCGCCGATGCCGTCGCCGCTGTCGACGCCGTTGGCTGAGGTGGTTCCACTAGCAACCAGGCCCAACGGATAATATATAATTAAATATATATATATATATATATATATATATACTTACAAAATTACAGTTTGAATTATCTAGATCATAGATACTTATATCTTGAGTTTTACTGCATTTTAATATCATTGTATTATATCGAATTGTTATAAAACTACACATATTTATGGGATATTATTTTTGTTAAAGAAATTGAATCATATGAATTGTTTTACAATTAGAATAAACATAGGGGAATTTAGAGCTTATTGCAAATACCACCCCTGTGTAATCTCTAATTGTCAAATACCCCCCTGTGAAAAAAAAACTCACTAATTCCCCCCTGTGTTAACGTTTTCGAAGCACACTGCACCCTTTTTTATTTTAGGTTTTGACTAACTGTGAATAGACAAAGATACCCTTAGGGGTTTTTTACCAATTAGTAAAGTATAATACCTAAATTTTAAAATCACTTTAATTTTATAAATATTATGTATTTATTTTTAATTCTTAAAAATTAAAATTAAAATTAAACAAGAATTAAATATATATTGTAATATTAAAAATTCTTATATTCTTTTTTTTTTATAGTATTTTTATATGCTTTGTAATTGTTTGTTACATTTTATATTAAATAACAATAATCATTAAAAAAAAAAAGAAAAAAGAAAGTTCTTCTTCTCTGCCCACCACCACAACCATCTTCTCCATCTTCTCAACCTGCTGCCGCCCTGCTACACCACCACCACAATCTCAACCTGCGGCGGCGAATCTATGTTCTGGTGGCGGAGAGATCTCGGCGGCAAATCTATAATCTATAATTCTTCATTTAAATCATCAAGAAGACATTTATCTTCGTTGATTCTTAATATTTTTCAATATTAATGCCTCACAACTCGCCGGAATCAAAGTGTTTCCGTTCAATTTGCCCGGAAAACACTGGCCCCTCTCGAATCTACTTCGAACGAAACCCCCACCTTCAGAATTCGTCGGAAGATTTGGCCGAAAAGCCTGCCCCGTCGAACCTACCTTGGACCAGCCCGCGCCCTTAGATCTCGTCGGAAAAATTTGCCCGCATTCGTCGTTCTCGCTAGAAAACCGTGGTTGAAGGACGCAAGGGCTGAAAATCCTCATTATCGACGACGAATGCCAGAGGGGTGGGGTTCTTCAAGAACTTTGCGGCGACAAAGAGAAATTGGCGATGGAGGATGAGATACTCATGAAGGCGAAGAGGGAATAACCTCTGCTATGGACGGTATCACCGACGAGAAGAGTGGAGGAGGCGGTTGGTGGAAGGAAAGGGGAGGCGGTGGAAGAAGAAATTTGGGGAAGAAGACGATGAATTCCTTCGGATTTTTTTTTTATTCTTTTTTTTCCTGTATTCTTTATGTTTGTTTTAACAATTTTGATAATTACAATTTAGTCCTATAACTTTAGATTATTTATAATTAAATCAATCTGGTTTTTTTTCCTCTTATAAAGGGATATTTATGTCATTTCACCCTGAAAATAGAATAAAAAATCGCACATTCCGCGAGTGACATGCACGATTTGCCTCTAGGGGTCCGGATGCCTTGACTTTGTTAACATAGGGGGGAGTTAGTGAGTTTTTTTTCCACAGGGGGGTATTTGACAATTAGAGATTACACAGGGGTGGTATTTGCAATTACCTCGGGAATTTAATTTAATTTCACATGCATGTTCAATTTTATTTTTAATTTTACTTACTTTTCTTTTTGAGCTATATATATATATATATATATATATATTTATTTATTTATTTTGTATTGTTGATTTTGAACGTGGATATGGGGGAATGAGGAATGGAAGGTAGAAGGGGCTGCGGGCTGCCGGCCGGTGGATCAACCGGTCAACTTTCAGATGATGCAACTAATTAAATTATATATAGTATAGTTTCAGAAAGTTAGAAATTGTAAGTAATGAAAGTTGATTCATTGTGTTTGGTTCGATTAATCAATTTATATTATTTCGGTCTAGTTTTCAACTGTATTGGCTTTTTTTTTTTTTTTTTTTCTTTTTCCCAGACGTCACTAGGTTATATAAAGACCAGAAACCTTCTTCCAAATAGAGCTCGCCAGTTTTTTCGAGCTCGAGTCATATTTGGTGAGTTCGAGCTCGAGCTCGAGCTCAAGCTCAAGCTCACCGACCTTTCATTTGATGAGCTCGAACTCTCGAACTCAAATTCGAGTTCAAGTCGAGCTGAACTTGTAGAACTCGAGCTCGAAAAATTCGAGTTGGAGCTCGAGCTTTTGTTGAGCCAGCTTATATATCGATCGAGGCCATAAGCCGGCTCAGCTGATTTACACCACTATTTCCAATCCATGAGCCGGTCCTATAGGCTATAACTTGTATGCAATTGTCACTTTCATAATCCAAAAAGGAAATTGGAGCAAAAGCAAAATTTGCCATTTTTCTCTAATATTCATCAAAGAAAAATAATAATTATGTCATAAAGAATACTAAGTTTGCTTTAAATACAATTATTTCAAAAAAAAAAAAAAACTAGTGTATGGATGGTTCGGATCCATGAATCAGGAATGAATTGTACAGAAAAGATGATTATGCGTATTGGGCAATCCATTTATTGCATGCATGTGCCTCAATAGTCAATAGTAAATAATTAATAAGAATAGATTTCAATAAATTGTTGGTTGATTTTATTTCAGGATAAATCGCATTTTATTTTTTCTATTGTCATTTATTTTTTGGTATCATTTTACGTAATTTTGTACTGTCAATTCTATTTTGCAATGTTGTCAGAATTGGACTGGATCAATCGATCGGTCAAATTGGTTCAACCATGACCCGTCGATGAATCGGGTTTGACATCTAAAAATGGAAAAACAAAAAACCGGGTCTAATTATATATTGGAATGATGGAGAAAAGTGTTTAATTACTTGTATAGATAAAAAAAATGAGGAAGAAAAAAGAGAATACAAATTTATTTAACGAAGGGCATTTTAGACATTTCGGATAATGATTTTAATAGTCATCGTCTCCGTGTGACTTCGGTTTCAGTCACTCCTCCCCCCACCCCAGCTTTGCACAGCTGCATCAATGGCGTTCTCCTCGTGGATTTCTCGCCTGCGTTCTTCCTCAAAACCAATTTACACCAAATTCAGAAACTCCTTTACGACTACCGCACCGCCGCCAAGTCTCGCCGCGGAAATAATTCTGCGATGTCGGCATATTCGGAAACCACCCGTATCACCTTGGGCTCGCTCCCTACTTCCACTGGCTCTTGCCGTTTCCGCCGGCTCTTTTATTTCTCAATCAAACGGCGTTAATTGCCCATCCTACTGTCAATCCCCAATTCTCGATCAAACGTAAGTATCGTGTATTTGTTTGCTATGCTTCGCCGTTGGAGTTTCATGTTTTGGCTGGGTGAATTTGTTTCTGAAGCTTAAAATAGCGTTAGTGATATGTATTTTGATTACATTTGATTTTTTGAAGTAAGGGAATTGGAGGCAAAGATAGCACAGACTACTTGGTGAAAGGCTCACTCAAAAAAATCCCACAGGAGCTTATTGAAGAATTGAAGCTCATCTGCAAGGTATTATTTCTCAATTTTAATTATTAGTTAAAATTGTTTCCGGTGGGGGTTTGAAACGATTAACATCTGAAATGCTTACTATTCGTTGCAGGATAATATGACAATGGACTATGATGAAAGATACTTTCATGGGAAGCCACAGAACAGCTTCCACAAAGCAGTGAACATCCCGGATATTATCGTTTTCCCAAGGTAAGATTGATCGCAACTCTAAAAAATTATGTGATTGGCCTAGATATTTGGATCGATATAATCAAACAGCAAATGGTGGAAGAAGCGAAACTATCGTTGAGAATCCAATATAGGTGCTGGAAGGATATTGATTAACAGCAACATAACTAAGTAAAGTCAGAATCTAGGCTCATTATTTAACTTTAGATTTCGATTATTTCACTTTAGCATTTAGGCCTTAGCTGCGCAAGTCTTCTCGTTGCGCAGTTTATGTGCACTTCTTACATCTGCCTACTAATATGCAGGTCAGAAGAGGAGGTTTCTAAGATAGTTGCTTCCTGTGACAAGCACAAGGTTTGGAGCTGCTATTATATTTCAAAACTTAATGATTGTGCATTACAGTTACTGGTTTATCTTTTCTGATCTTGTTGCGTTTTGGTAACTTATACGATTTATAGACTGTATATAGTTTGATTTTTTTGAATCGTGAGGAAGTTTTGACTCATTATCTCCAAATTGTGCTAACAGGTTCCTATTGTGCCATACGGCGGAGCGACCTCAATCGAAGGCCACACATTATGCCCTAGTGGTGGAGTGTGCATTGACATGACGCTAATGAAAGTATGAATGACTATAGAAATAGTTTGATTTTCTCTTCAGTTCTTTGTTTGGTATCTCAATTGCTTTCTCTGGAAGATATCAAGTCTTTTTGGTCAAATTGCTGATAAGCTGTTCTCTATGCAAGTTCTTACTCTTCACTTTTGAATTTTATGTACGGGCCTGTGTTCGATTTTAATAGTGAATGTAACCACAGTCGGGAGTAATCCTTGTTACTTACCTTGTAAACTATTCTCATTGCAGCGTGTCAAATCACTAAATGTTAAGGACATGGATGTTGTTGTTGAACCTGGGATTGGGTGGATGGAGCTTAATGAATACCTTGAACCTTATGGGTTATTCTTCCCTCTGGATCCTGGTGATTTTTCTCATGTCTTGGTTATGTGATGCTTTTGTTTTTTATTTATAGATATATGATTATTTATGATTTAGGATGAGTTTTATGAATCTCTTTGTAAGACTTTACGTCTGTACCATACATAGCCTTGATTAATGGTGGAGAATGGCTCATACATGATGCCGAGGGCTTTGTAATTTACAAGACCGTTTGCATTGAGGATATTGAGTAGGTGATTGAGCTTTTGTAGCCAAGCGGGGAAAGAACTTATAGAAAATTACATTAATTGGTTATATTGAAAATTTTCCTGAAGTTAAAAGAACATGGCGTTACAACACACACACCCAAAGGGATTCGAACCTCGGACCTCTCACCTACACCACTATGGAAGAAGCTCCAATACCACTAGGCTAAGCCTTAGTTGGGTTTTTTTTTTCTTCTGAAGTTTAGATATTTTTAGTGTGGCATTCTGTCTCTTTACCATGTTTTTACAAATTGACTAGACATTCATAACTTTCATGTTGTTTTTTAAACTAGAGCTGATCTTCAGGTCCTGGAGCAACCATTGGTGGAATGTGTGCAACACGGTGCTCTGGTTCCTTAGCTGTAAGGTAGTTGCTTTGCCTTCAATTTTACAGGAATAAAGATCATTTACCATACTCACGGTATCTTAGTTGCCAAACATTCAAGTATTGCATTGTGATTGAGCATGAGTTTGTGGTAACTTAGTAGTGGCTGACGATACATATACATACATGTTTTACTCTAACTTACTTGCAACATTCATTAGTTACTGCACTGTGTGTTAATTTAGGTTTTTATACTTGGTCAAGTTTTTCTATAACAATGGGTTTTAACTCTTAACTAATCGAGGCATGAAATAAAATGCCTTTCTTAAAGTATTCTACGCATTCTTAATTGAGCTTAATTATTTGGTTTCTAGCATGTAGGTATGGAACTATGCGCGAAAATGTCATCAACCTTAAGGTTTGTTTATTCTTATTAATGCCTTTTGGTCATAGAGATCATGGCCATGATGCTTATTCTCTTACAGGTTGTTCTAGCCAATGGAGAGGTTGTCAAGACTGGATCTCGTGCCAGGAAAAGTGCCGCAGGGTATGGTCCTTGTTTTGAATCTGCACCAATAGTAGTTATTTTCCATATTCTCATTAGTATTGAACTTGGAAGTATTTTTGTATTGTTTACATAATCTATTTGTTTCCTTCCCACTGCACTATTTTAGCTTTAGCTTATAATATTTTTGCTGTATTAGGCAAATAAAAATGACAGAAATATCTGGAACCATTGGTGCTATATGACTTATGATGTTTTCTACATAAAATAGTTCTTTCTTATTTGTAATTGCGGTTAGTTAGACTTTGCCGGATTAATTATTTATGAATTTTATACTACACTCGCTGAATTTTTCCTGTTATCAAGGCCTCATGTACTCCAGGATTTTTAAGAAAAGGTAGTTTTTTAACCAGACCAGCTCACATCACTTGCAGTTTGCTCTCTAATAAGGCCGTCTTTTTAATCAAGTCACGAGTGCTGGTCATCCAACTTAATTATGGTTAAAAAAATCATCATTTTTTACTTCTATTGGTTTAAGTGCAAAGACTATCAAGTTCAAGAGGAAAAGTTTAACAAAAAAAATTGGGGGGTGAAGTGTAAAATCATGAGTAGTTCAGATGGTAAAGTGTAACTAACCATTTTAATTGAGATTGGTAAGTTTTTGTTTTTTTGCTGTCCTCATTTCTTAAGCCACTTGAAGCTAATTATATATGTGGATGTATGCACGATGCTCCATCTCCTTGATCACAAAGTCTGCATATCTAGCCTGGCATTATTTCGAGTTGACTCTCTTTCTACTCACTAAAATTACAATATCATGTTGCATTGCCTCAATTTATTGTAGGAAAAGGTCATCTTACCTATAAAATGTTGTTTTTGTGACGTATGAAATCTTTGTTAAGGATATCTTAGTATCTTCTTTGTTTAAACTAATTTACTTGGTCATCTTCACCAAGTAACATTACTGACTTGTGGAACTACAGATATGATCTAACACGTCTCATGATTGGAAGTGAAGGAACATTGGGTGTTATAACAGAAGTTACATTACGCCTGCAGAAGATCCCTCAATACTCGGTGGTATGTCATTATTACTCCATTATGCTTCTCTCTCTCTCTCGACCCTAGTCTCCATTATTTGCTGTGAGGACTACTGGAGGTTGTCTTAGTTACTGCACTACCCCATTATCCATCAAACTAATCGAAAGAAGAAAGATCTCTCATCAAAATGCTGTTTTGACATGTAAAAGAAAAGTCCTAAATTATACAATATGTATACTGTTCCTCAACGTCACAGGAGTTGGCTAGCCACCTTTCCACAAATTGCATGATTGTTCTCATTTCTCAAACCGAAAAATGACCGCCTTCAGAATACTAGATTGCATGGCAGCATGCTCAGTTGTCCATCATAACAATAGAGCTGCAACATACAACTGAAAACGTGAAGTCTCTACCTCGTATATAATTTTTTTTCAAGTAACCTATGTATGGGAAGTGATAGTATCACTAATTGAATATAACTAAGAAAACTTTGAAGATGCAGTTTAGATTTCTTGGATTTGAAGTTTTTTTCGGAAAACTGCTTGATTTTATTAGATACCCCTAATATCTTCATCACATGTAATATATAAAATTTGTGAGGGCTACCTCTGTAAAATAGTAATAACTATGAATCTATGATAATGATGATGACAAATAATCATTCATATGTTTTATGTGGGTTGCCATTGTCTAGGATTCAAATGGTTTTCAATTTCTCTAGAGAGTTCACTTGAAATAAAAAAAGATTTATGTAATATGACATTAGTTTTGATATAATTAGTCTATTTTGAAATTGCATGCACGCTTAAGTGAGTAATTCCCTTTTCCGGTCGATAATATTTAACAGGTGGCGATGTGTAACTTCCCTACAATTAAAGATGCAGCGGATGTTGCTATTGCATCTATGCTGTCTGGCATACAGGTCAGGGAGTTTTGCTGAAATTGCTCTTTTCAAGGCTATTTTTCAATTTTCTAGTTATCATCATGATTCTTACGTGTCGTTTTCTTTTTCACGTTTATATATTTCTTGTTTTGAATTTATAAGACCTGTCCGGCTGTTCCGCCTGTTACTTATTCTTTGAGTCCTCAAAATTGTTCAAACAAACAAGGAGAGAAAAAGATTAATCTTTATTGCCTCTCTTTTAGTAGATTAAAGAAAACCTAAACCATCTTAAAAAAAAAAAGATAACCTAAAGAAGAGCATTCTGCTATAAAGATTAAATTCTTGCAGCAGTTCCATCTTCATAGTGCATGCTGCACTTCTAATCATCTTGTGAAGTACTAAGACATATATTCTTCCATACATTTAAAACATTTGGACAATCATTTTCTTGGTTATTTCATCTATGTGAAGGAGGAATCATACTCACATCTTAAGTTGATGCAAATTTCAAATATGATTAACTAGAATACAAGATACTTGAGTTTTGCATTTCCTCTGTTGTTTCTTCATCTTCTGTTTTTATCCTGTAACAGGTATCGAGAGTGGAACTTTTGGATGAAGTCCAAGTGAGAGCAATCAACCTCGCTAATGATAAAAAATTGCCTGAAGCCCCGACTTTGATGTTTGAATTTATTGGCACAGGTGAATTGATTTAACTCCCGATACGCATATTTTTACTCTTCTAGCTTAAAAAATGGATTGATTGAGGTTCAATTTTTTGCCATCTTGCTCTAGGAAGTGACTGGCAAAGCGAGATAGTTGAAGTGACGCTTGTATCATATTTCTTTCTATCTAAGATCCCGATTTCATCCTTTTAACTGATTATGTTTTTTTTTTGGTTCTCCACAGAAGCATACTCACGCGAACAGACACTTATAGTTCAGAAGATAGCCTCAGAGCACAATGGGTCAGATTTTGTGTTTGCAGAGGATCCCGAAGCAAAAAAGGAACTTTGGAAGGTATCTCACATTAATGTCGACTACTTAATGGCCAAGTCATCATCAATTTGTATGAATATCTTAATTTTTGCTTTGGTATTTCCTTTCCGGAGTACATCTTAGCCGATCATACGTACGTTAAATCATTTTTTTTTTCTTTTTTGTTTTCTCTGCACTGGTTTTCGAAGTTTCTTCAAGTAATCTTCAAGAGAGTTTCATCATATTTTGAAGAGTTTCATTATATGCTTGCTCATTGATATTCGAATGTGCATTTCAATTGACTGCAGTAATTTGTGAACCACAAACTCAGCTTGTTCACTATCTTGAATATTAAGCCTTCGGGTCTGATTTATATAACTTGTAGGTTAATGTTTTTGAAGGAACCAGAGTTTCTGAATTCACTCATTACCCTCTGATATAACTCCCTCGTTTCATTACGTAAAACAGTGTAGCCCATTTATCAGATATTATTTTGACAGCAGAAGTGTTTGGCTCAGATTCTTTGGAGATTTGGCTTTCAGTTATCGTATCTATTTATTATTGTTACTTTTGTTTGTGCGTATCTATGTATTTTTTATTACAGTGTGTTTTGTAGATATATTTTGCATGCTCTTTTTTTATTTCTATCATGTAATAATGCTGATTCTCTAAATTCTCTCATTTAGATAAGAAAGGAGGCACTTTGGGCTTGCTTTGCAATGGAACCAAATTTCGAAGCAATGATAACGGTTAGTTCCTTTTTTTCTTCTCTGTTTAAAATAACAGATCATCATTTTTTAGCGGATTTTTTGAAACAACCGCTATTCTTACACAATCCTATGAAGGATATTACCCAATACAAGGATTGTATAATCATACATCTCAAACATAAGATAACCACATATTACACTATATTGGACAACGTAATCCCATCCAATTTAATCAATCGATCAATTCCATCAATATTCTTCTAGTTGGACATGTATTTTGTTTCTTATTCAACTCGTGTCTTATTTTGTATAATTTTTTTTTTTTTGCAGGATGTATGTGTTCCACTGTCACACCTTGCTGAAATAATATCGAAATCCAAGCAAGAGCTTGATGCTTCGTCTTTAGTATGGTAGATCGTACTTCTCTTGAACTTTTACGGGGTTTTTTAGTAATTAACCCATAATTCAATTAATTGATTTGGCCATTCCTAATTCCACCTATATTCTATACAACATAACAGCACGGTGATTGCTCATGCTGGTGATGGAAACTTCCACACAGTCATTTTATTCGATCCCAATAAAGACGAACAGCGAAAGGAAGCTGAGAGGTTGAACCATTTCATGGTTCATGCAGCTTTAGATATGGAAGGTATATATTATTGCAATCAAAATTATCTACTCATTAAATGAAACTAATATATTTTTTTCGGTATTTAAAAATATATTTCGAATTTATGGGTGGAGCAGGAACATGCACTGGGGAACATGGTGTCGGCACTGGAAAAATGAAGGTAAATGTTCGGATCCACCGACGAACACTTCAAAATAAATCTCAACTTTATCAAAATGAATGTGAATTTGATTATTATCGCTTTTGTGATTATTAATGAAATAATCGTCGTATTAATTTGTTTCAGTATCTGGAAAAGGAGCTCGGAATAGAGGCATTGAAGACTATGAAAAGGATAAAAGATGCTTTAGATCCCAATGGGATTATGAATCCTGGGAAGCTCATTCCTTCCCATATTTGCTTCTAGTTTTACTCGTTCGTTTATCCTCTTTCAACGCATTCAACTCAATTTTGTAACCCTAATTTAATCCGGATTTCAACAGTTGGCTCTTTGATAGTGACCGGCGTAAAATAAAATGTTCACCGCTATTTCACTGTGTTGACTTGGTTAAAATTTTATTTTGGATTGTTATTTTACTGTGTTGACCGATCAATTTTCCTTTTTATTACTTTTTCAGCTATTTTATTGTGTAGACCGCTATTATACTGTGTTTGTGTTGATCGAACAACTGAATAGTCGAACCAAAAGAAATAACCGATTAATGGTCAAAGGCGGAGATCGGCGGTTAAAAATAAATAAATGAAATTGATCGGTCAATGGCGGTCCATGGTGGTCAACAATAAAAATGGTTAATCGGTGAAATTGTGGGCATAATTTATAGGGATAATTAGTGAAAACCCCCCACATCATTTACATATATTAGGGTGGGTTTAACCCCCTTTTCATAATTAGTGAAACCCCCCATGTATTAAATTCGAATTTTTATGAATAATTTCATAATTGACATTTACATATTCACCCTTGTGTAATTAATTTATTTTAAACACGTGATTTGAAGAAAATCTTTGAAATCACGATATATCGGCATATTCCATAACCGCCTCATCTCTCTCAAACATCGTGTTAATTTTTGAACCGTTCCAAAGGCGCGTGTTGATATTCATATCTCGTTCCGTTCAGAGAGTCGACGAATGTAATTGAAGAAGGCTGAGTTTTTTTTTTTTTTTTTTTTGCAACGCAGTTGTGTTTTACTGCTGATTCGATGCATCAAATGTGGATTCATATATATGGTGAACTGATGTAATTGCAGAAAGTGGCTTCTAATTGATTTCGTATATGCGAACTGGTGTTTCGTTTTTTGGTTCAGAGGATCTCATCGAGTTCATCGGCGGTTTTGTAATTGAAGAAGGCGAGATTTTTTATGTTGTTCCTATGTGTGAACGATTTTTTTACTGTTGCTTTTATTTTATAAATTGAAATTCATCTTTAATTGCATTCCGTACTAATTACATGAAGTTTTTTTGTAATTGGATTCAGATGTGCGAACGATTGTCCTGAGTTGATTATGCGGAGGCTTTATAGTCGATGTATGCATTTATGTTTATACAGTCGATTTCTATGTTGGTAAATAATTTAATTTTTATGTTTAATATGTCTTGTTAGGTATTTGAATATACTTTAATTTGAAGATGTCCGAAAGCTTGTTGTAGAGCTCTATGGGAGAATGCACCAGAGGAGATTTTCATATTTTTCTACTGGCTCCATAATATTTGTAGTTGTTTTGGGAAGATTGTCATTATTTTGTTACTTTTGTATTTGTTTATGTCACTTTTGTAATTGATTTTGACTTTCATAAATTTCTTTTTGTAGTATTAGAGCACTGGAGGCTAGGGCTTCTTGAGGCCAACATTGTTGGGAGTTGTGAGATGACATTGGCCTCTCTCTATGCTATGACAAAGAATAGAAATAATGAATTTATAGTAGTTTTCGTTGGAAATTTGGGTGTTTTTTTTTTTTTTTTTTTTTTCGACAATTTGTAGTTGTCTTTGTTATGTAATCATGTCATTATAATTTTGTTAGTATACATAGTTTATGTTGATTTGATTTTTAGAGGTGCAGATATTTTGAAACATAACCGTTTACTAGTTATTTTTCCAGAATAGTCTTTTGATAACAATTAATTTGGATATAGTTGGATTCATATTCGTTTTGCTAAAATTGTGGAAATAATCTTTTTGATAATATCAACAAACAAATTTTATCCAAATGCAAGTTCTTGCAAACCGACTATTATCATAAAAAACAACTATTTCTAAACAACAACTATTAACCGAAAACAGGTATTACCCAAAATCTGCTATCATCAGAACAGATATTCATATTGTCGAGCAAAAAAGTTGTTAGAAAAAAGAATGTATCGTTGTGCAAAAGGTCTAATTCCAAAATCATCTTCATGAAAAACAACTCAATCAAAAAATACTCCATATGTCAACATAGAAACATCAAAACAAAAGAAATGCTAAGCAATTTTTTAACAACACAAAACCAAAACAATCAAGCGGCGTTATCGTTCAAACTAATCTTCTTGATGTGCTTATGATTTCCCCAACATAAGAAAATCTTCACAATTTATGTCCGCAACTTGGAAAAATAACAAAACGGGTACTTGTATCGTTGCCCGTCAGTGTCGGCTTCTTCTTTTGCCCTCTGAAAACAACTATCCTATTTAATGACGTCGTCTTCTTCTTTTGCCCTCTGAAAACAACTATCCCGTTTATTGGTGCTGGCTTCTTCTTTTGCCCTAGGAATCGTTGCCCAAACAGTCGCTGCCCATTCTCATGTCTGATTATATTTGTCCCAAAAAATCTTGTCAGAATAGTATATTTACATAATAGTTAATTTACAGAATAGTCTATTTACAGAATAGTCTATGTACATACTAATGAACTATTTGCAGGCAGAATAGTCTATTTACAGTTCAAGAATAATTCCACATCACTCAAGACACCCAAGCAAATAGACTATTTGGCATCACAATGGCATGGAGATTGGCTTATTTTCAAAAAAAAAAAGTATATTCACAAAATAGTCAATCTATATCTAGGCAGAATAGTCTATTTACAGTTCAATAATAATTACACATCCTTCAAGACAGCCAAGCAAATAGACTATTTGGAATCACAATGGCATGGAGATTGGCTTATTTTAAAAAAAAAAAGTATATTCACAAAATAGTCAATTTATATCTAGGCAGAATAGTCTATTTATAGTTCAATAATAATTACACAACATTCAAGACACCCAAGCAAATAGACTATTCTGCCTCACAATGGCATGGAGATTGGCTTATTTTAAAAAATATAGTTAATATACAAAATAGTCGATTTATATCTACGCATAATAGTCTATTTACAGATTGTCATGTAAC